GGGGGCACCCACAGAGCTGACCGCTTCTTCCTGAACCTTCTTCCTGAACCCTCACAGGATGTCCTCCCCGAACAAGGAGGGAGTGCTGCGAATCTAGTGCCCCTGACGCACTAGAGCTCATGACATCACAGTCCCCTGCACCAGCATGCCCATGGGGTGGCCTGCTTTGGTCACTGCGGCACCTGCTACAGGGAAACTGCTCTTGGGGAACCAGCACCCACTTCGGCGATGCCCAGAAAGCCTGGAGCCCCCCACCAACTCACTTCCCCTGCCAGACTAGGTTTCTTAGTTCCTTGTCTTTTCTTATCTCTAGACCTCTCCCAATCAGAAATCCTACCCATCCTTCTAGACCAGCCTTGAGAGCCTCCCCTGCCCCCTACCCCCCGACACCCACAGCCCTCAGCAGGCGTCTCCCTCCTTCCCTTGCTCCTACAGGGCCTGGAGTCAACTCATGGTGCCAAGTGCTTGAGTCTGATGGGTGTCTCCCCAGCAGGACCATGGGGTCCCTAATGGTCTATTCCACTGGGGAGCCGAGGGCCGGGCATCCTGTAGGTGCTCAGGGGGAACTCGGTGATGGACCGAATCCTCAGCTGCAGCCCCTCTGCCCCCTCCCCCTCCGCAGTCCCCACGCCTGCTGGCCTCAGGAATTGCTGCCTGTGGGTGCAGCCCTGCCCCAGGCTTTGCAGGCCGGAGCCCGGCTGCACGAACTTGGGGCCTGGTCTTAGCAGATGATCTGCCCAGGGAACTCTCAACCACTTCCCACCGGTCCCTGGCCACGGCTCCTTTCTCTTCGAGGAACTAACTGCTATTCTGTGAGTCAGTAACTGGGGACGAAGGGAAAGGGTGGCCTCATGTGACAGCTACAGTCATGGGGGAAGGCACATCTGCTTCCGCTTCTCCAGAGACACCGTCCCCTCCGTCCCCTCCGGCGGGAAGGAGGCCCCAGTCACGACACAGGTGCCACGTGCATGCAGTCTAACCAGACGGGGTCCTAGACAACCACCCGAATAGCGGAAAGAAACTGTGCTGGGAGCAAGGGGACCCAGGAACTCTTGGCTCCCCCTCTGAGTAGTCAGTCCCCTTCTCTGAACCTCCGTTGCAAGGGTATGGCCTTGAGAGCCCTAAGAATCCTCCGTGTTGTGATTTCCAGAAATTCATATATGTGGAGAAGCGCTGAGGGGCAGCCACGTCCTAAAGGATCCACGAGGGCCGTGTCCCAGGCAGCACTGCCTGCCCCTCTGGCTTCAAGGAAGCCTGCAGCCGTGGCCGTGGGTTCCACCCTAGCGCCACCTGTCACTTGTCCACGACCCAGCTCTCTGAGCCTGTTTCATAGATGAGGAGACCTGAATCCCAGGAGGGCAGGAATGTCCCCAAGATCTAGAGCGTGTCCCTGAGCCTGCTGGTCTGCAGCTCTGGGCTCCTCGCCCCTCTTCCCCAGAGGATGCACCCTGAAGGGTCAGTGTCCTAAAGAGGGCCAGGATGTGGAGGGGCTTCTGGCTTTCAAGGGCTGGGATGAAGGCACCGCCTCTCACAGCCCAGCTGGTAAGGCCAGTTCCTCTGCCCAGGAGCGTTTATGGCTACGCTGGTGACTCCATGTGTCTGGGGTGGGGTGGGGGCTGGATGGGACCACATGGCACCATAGGGAAACCCTGGAGGGGCGCAGCCGGCCCTATGCCTTTCATCTCCAGATGCCGGGGCCTCCCTCCCCACATGGTGCCCAGAAGGAGCGCAGGCCTTTCCCTCCTGGAAGGCGGCCTGAGGCAGAACCGTCAGTGGGGGGTGGATGGTTAGAGTGGGGTTTCCAGTGGGCTACACCTCCCACAGCCCTTGAAGTGTGTGAGGATTTCTGCATTCCAGGCCCTCCCCTCCGCCCTGCAGCCCCCTCCCAGCCTTTCCAGGGTCATTTCTTAGGGAGGCCGGGGGTGGCCGGAGGATGGCGGAAGGGCAGAGAGGGCGGAGTTGCGTGTGTGCAAGGGAAGCCCTCTCCTCCGGGTTGGAGGGTCGCCCCGAGGCTGACAGTGCATCTGTGCCCACTGGTCACACCTTGAAGGAAGTGTCTTCCTTTCTAACGACAAAACCAAGGCATGTCCCCTCACCACGCCCTCTGCCCGCAGAGCTGGATCTGTCCAGAGGGGGCGCTGTTTCTAATGCGTGTGGAGATGTTCTGTATGCCCCTGATGCCCTGAGGCTGGGCTGGGGCTCACCCATCCCTGGGTGGGAATTTGGGTAAGGAGGAAGGTTTGGAAGGCACACAACAGGTGGGAACTCAGTTCACAAAGTGGTATCCTCTCGGAGCCAGAACATCTTTTTCCCAATTTCTGACACACCTGGTTGTTGACCCCCAGCACTCCCAGCCAGGAGACCAAGGGTTCAGCCAGTCAGCACAGGGCCTGCGAGCCCCATGGCTGCCGCCTGGCCAGTGCTCACCTATCTTGGGAAGCCAAAGAGAAATGCGTGGTTCGATGTGCCCTCCCACCCAAGGCAAGTCCTGCCCTGTGAGCACCTCCCTCAAGGGAAGGATGGGTGGACGGCCTGGAGCCCAGCCCCCTTCCCACAACCACATCTCCAGGCACTGAAGCCCTCGGGTCAGTTCTGATCTGAAGGCCAGGCCAGGCAAGACCAAGCCCCAGTGGTCTCTGGGATCAGCCAAGTCTCCCGTTTTGGGTCTCAGGTATTCCCTCCCCCAGGCATCCCAGGACTGGGGTTGGGGGGCACAGATAGGGAGGGCCTCAGCCTTCTCCTCCCTGCACTCTCTCCAGTCAAGTCCACCCCCACCCACCCCCAAGCCTCTGTGGGGAAGCCAGGGGAGAGCCAGGACCTAGGCTGCTTGTGGCTCTGACACATGGGACCTTCCCTAGAAGCCTAGAATAAGCACCCACACAACCAGCGCTTTGGCTCAGGTGATCCCTAGGGGCCCATGCCCCGTGACCCCTCCCGCGCCTCCTTCCCCACCTCACTATGCTCACCAGCCCAGGCCCAGGGAGTCCAGCTGAACACTTGCAAGAGCTGGAGCACGAGCAAAAGAAGGGATGGGGAGCCAGGTCCTCCATGCTCACCCTCCATCCCTCACCCTCCCGTCCCCGGCTCTCAGCCCGGCCAGCAGAGCCCAGGTGTTTCCCATTGAGGCTTTTATTGTGGAGTCTCGGGCTCTGGCTGAAGAAGGCCCAAGGAGCTACCCTATCCTCCACGCCCCCCACCCCGGGCTGCGCCGACACGGCGGGGCCTGTCCTCTCCCACCACCTAGCCCTTTGTGGGCAGCCTCTCGCCCTCGCTGGGAGGTCACCCAGGGCCTGGCTCCAGGCTCCAAGCCCATTCCTTCCACCCATCCTTCACACTGCAATAGCCAGAGCATCCTTCTGTGGAACAAAGCTAATTATCCCATGCCCTTACTATTAAATCCACCAAAGGCTGCCCTTTGTGTTTGTGTGTGTTTGCGTGGGTGTTTTTGTTTTTTAACAACTGGCTCTGTTTTGTAGCACTGACCAGGTGCCATGATGTAAATATTCCCACCCCAGCTGATTTCAGAGTAACAGCGTGAGGTCACTGAACTCGTGCCCCATCAGCACTCACAGGCCAGGAGTTGTTAACCTCAGCACACAGCCATCTCTACCCCTTTCCCCTTGACCTAGGATGCAAAGTCCTCCTCTACTGGCCCCCGTTGTCCCTCCAGCCCCATCTCTCACTGCCTTCCCACCCCCGACGCAGATACCGCACGCGGGGGGGCACCTGCAGGTCCCTGAGTGCACCTGGCACTTGCCAGAAACACCACCTCCTGTGTGGCCTGGCCAGCTCCTTTGGTAATACCCAATTCACATGTTTCCTCCTCTAGGCTGTCTTCACTAACTCCTCAATCCCGATTAGTGCCCGTCCCCTGTGACCCTAGAACACTGCCCTTGGACATCTATATTATTTAGTAATGCATGTCTGTCCTTGCCGCAAAACTGACAGCTCTGCAGAGGCCAGTGCTATGTTCTGGGGTCTCTGGGTCTCAGCCCCTGATCCAGAAGAGGCCTCAAGATTGAGCTGAGGGAGTGAGATGCATGGAGTAGCAAGCTTGGGGCCCAGGGTTTCATGCGAGGAGCTACCCGGGGACTCAAGGCACTCCCTTGGATCTTTCCCAGCAGAGCCCAGTGCCACCTTCTTGGCCAGCTTTCTAGGAGAGCTGCAGGACAGGGACAGGGGGCCTGGCCCATACTGCGGGAAGGGGCATCCTCCCCGCTCCTGGGTCTGAGATTCACCAGGTGCCAGCCCCAGCCTGCCCCCTGGCACAGAGGGGCACAGAGCTGGCGGGTGCTGGGGCCGAAGTGACCTGCCGCCCCTCCCAGTTGTTTGTATCCTGGTGACCATGGTTTCCTGTAGGGCGGGCTATCATTATTGACTTTGGCACCAGCACCCAGGCATTTCGGGGAGGCCACCCTTTCCCATGCCTGGGAAAAGCCTCAGGGGTGGCTGGGGCAGCCCCGGCCTGGAAGAGCCCCCCACCCCCAGGTCCTGCCCAGGTGGTCCTTTGTGACCAGAATGGGAGAGACAGGAAGCAGCGGTGGTACAGGGAGGGCCCTGGGCTTCTGAGGGAAAAAGACTGGGTTTGCACGTCAGCTTGGCCACTCAGCAGCTGTACAAAGTAACGGCGTGGGGCCTTGATTTCCTCATCTGTGAAATGGAGGTAGTTATGCCTGCCTTTCAGGGCTTTTGTGAACGTAAGAGTAACATCCACTGTTTATGGAGTGCTTTGTCCACAGCAAAGCGTACTTTACTCACATTATCTATGTAATCGCCCCCGGAGCCCTTTGAGATCAGACCTATCAGCCCCATTTCACAGATGAGAAAACAGCAAGTGAGGTATAACTCCAAAGCTCCTTCTCCTACCACTATGCTACCCAGTGTCCCTAAAATTAGAGAGCAGGTGTGGGGGGGGCCTGGCACATTCTAGGCACAGCAGAGATGATAGCTCTTAATAACTATCCAAAATCCTGCTGTCCGGCATATATCAGGAGACGGAATTTTTAAAAAATCTCTTTCAAAGTTTTATCTGAACCAGAAGGTAGGCAGTTGTGCTCCTGATTTTCAGATGAGGAAAACGGAGGCCCGAGGTGGTGAGGGCTTCTCCACAGCCCCGCAGCTAGTTCCCACAGACCCTGGCTGAGCACCAGGCCCGGGCTCTGGGCCTGCCCTCTGCAGTGGGGGGGCCGGCGTCTGGCTCCTGGGAGAAACCTGGTGTGTCTGCGGGTGCAGGCCAGGAAGAAGGCTGGAAAGACAGGGCCGAGAAGGGCTGATCGTGGGGCCTGGCCCGAGAGGGGGCAGAGAGGCCAGCTCCCCACCTCCTCCCCCACCACCCTCTCTTCTGCCCCTACCTTGGGCCACATAACTGAGTTGGGATGGGGGGCAGGGGAGCACGGGGCACCTGAAGTTCCAGCCCCGGGGCCTTGCGCATGTCTCTCTTCTCTCCAGACCTGCGTCCTCACCTGGAGAATGGGAATGCTAATAACACCAGCACCAGCCCCAGTCCCAGGACATCATGAGAATGTGAGGGGCTCGTGGCTGTGACTCCCCCGGCTCCGCGGGTGGGAGCGCAGCTGGGGAGGGCCCCGCCAGGCTGCACCGAGCCACAGCTGGAGCGCACATCTCGGGGACAGCCCAGCCCACCTTGCACACAGCGAAGCCCTGCTCTGCGTCTGCACTCCGAGGCCCGACAGCTTCTTGTCTGTCACACCAGGAGATGAGACTTCTCTAATAGGTTCCAGTGGTAGCACATCTCATACGCGTGGCAAAACATCCTAATTTAAAAAGAGAAAAATATATAAACATTTCATACAGCTTTGATAACCCGTCGTACAGGGAAAAGCGTTTGATAAAATTCTTCCTCCTTCTGTGGACTATGGACAGCCAGCCACTAGCGGATCTGGAACAAACCCACGTCCTCAGGTTCTGTTGTGGCTTAGGAGTAGCCAGGCTGGACCCACCCGGGAGGCTCAGCTGCTTCTGCACTGGGGGCCCCTGGGGCCTGGTGTAGACCTTCTTCCCCTGACCCTCAGGCTGCAGGGACCCCGTCCCAGGAGGGTGAGCACCAGGGTCTGCATCATCAAAGCCCCTGGGCCTGGTTAGCAGCAGGTCTGGTCACCTTGCCCTGGCAGGATTCTGGAAGGTGTGAGGGGTGATCTCACCTCTGGCTACATCCTAGGAGATGGGGAGACTGGGTTTGGAGGGAGAGAACACTAGCTGGTGATGTGCACGCTGGGGCCCCCGACGCCTTGCTAGCCCGTGGTGCTGTCCCTGGTTTAACCACAGTGTCTGTTACCACAAGGCAGCAACAGACCAAATGCTGTCCACCTAGTACCTTACTGAGTCCTCAGGACGCCCTGTGAGGGAGATCACACGACTGGTAGATGGAACCACCAGGATTCTGAGCCCGAGCATCTGGTTCCAGTCTTTGTCGCAACCACCATGCTATTCTGCCTTCTCCATGAGCTGTGAAGGGGTGACCACATCTGCTCCTCCCCACACCACCTTCACTTTGGGGGTTAACAGGAGCACTAACAGCTCCCATCCTGAGAAGCCCTTACACCTGGGGCTGCAGGGGGCAGGTGTGCCAGCCAGTGTGGGTCCTGGCCGCTCAGGGCGTCTGGCCTAGGAAGGGCTCTATAGATCCAGGATTGAAGATGCTCCCCTGCCAAGGTCTCTGGGGTCCAGATCGTCCGGTGGACAGCAGGGCGGGGGGGCGGTTCTGAGGCAGCCCAGGGATGCCACGCAGGCTTCCTCTGAGGCTCACACAGGGCCTCATGCTTGCTTGCCTCCCAGGTCTGCAGAGTTAGCATTTTGCAGCTTGTGAGTGTGAGAGGCCCCAATCTGGCCTGCCCCTGTGGTTGCGCAAGCGTTGCCTGGGTCAAGGAGTCAGCAGGGGCCAATATCCTGTTTTCCAGGTTCGAGGTTCACGGCCTGGAGGAAAAGGTCCTTGTTCTTACTGGACAAAGGTATAATCCGCTAACTGAGCCAGGCCCCAAATGGGGAGTCTTTTTTAATTCACCAGAGGTGCTGCATGGGCTGCCTCAAAGGAGGAGGGACAGTCAGCCCAAGAGCCCCTGGAGCAGGGGTCCCATCCTAGCCTCTGGCCCGGGTCTCTCTCCTCCCTAGGGGCCTGCGAATCTCGGCAGGTTCTCACGGGTAACCTCTCCCTCAGGCTACAGGGATCATGCCTTCTGGATCTGAAATCAGGATCTGAAGTTGGACAAAGGCAGTATTGATGTGTGAATCTAGAAATAAGGAAATCCTCACAGTTGAAGAGCACTTGGGTTGTTCTAGTTTGGGGGATTATGAGTAAAGTCACCACATCGCTACCGTGGAATACGATTCAGCAATAAAAAGCAACAAAGCTCCTGATACACCAACAGCTTGGACGGAGCTCAAAGGCAGTCTCCTCCTAAATGAAAGGAACCAGACTCAAAAGGCTTCATGCTATATGATTCCATTTATAGGACATCTGGAAAAGGCAAAATTCCCAGGACAGAAAACAGATCAGTGGTCGCTAAGGGGCTGGGCGGGGAGGGTCTTGACGACAGAGGGGCGCCGGGGAGTTTTCAGGGTGCTGAAACTGTTCTATGCTGTACTTGTGAGGGCGGTTACATGGCTGTTTGCATTTGCAGAAGAATTAATTGTAGGACAATAAGATTGGGTTTTCCTGTATGTAAAACAGATCTCAATTTTTAAAAAAACAGAAAATTACATTTCCTTTTCTGTCCCTTTTTCCACTCATTTTGACCTCAACATAAACTTGAATATCAACAAATCTGACTTAATGGATATTTCCAGCATGTCTCCCATATGCCAGGCCCTCTGTTCTGCCCAGAGAGGGGAGTGGCACCCAGAGGCCTGCGCTCACTCGGGGACACCCCCCACCCCTGCCCCTCCTCAGCTTGTGTCATCAGCTCCTACCTCCTCCCACACCTCCCAACATGCGTGCCGAGGCCCAGTGCACCCCTATTTCCCTCTTAGGGGCCTCTGGATTGCTTCGCCCTCATGCTGACTGATGAAGGTCAGTCGGTAACTCTGTGCTGAAATACTGGAATTTCTGAGACGTTTCCGTGGTTTATGGGACCATAATATTTGAAGTGGGAACCTGCGAACCATCTTTGACACCTCCCTCCTCCTTGTCACCCCACCCCTCCCACGCCCCACACAGTCAGGGAAGGGGGGAGGCACAAACTAGCAGGCAGGTGTCCTGGGGGGGCTCAGGCCTACATGGTGGTTTATCGATATGAATCCTATGTCACAACTTTTGAGGAAGGCAATTGGCAATGTTGTGTTGTTGTTTTTTTTTTTTTTCACTGACCCCAAAGTGCCCCGGACTGTTGCGCAAAAAAAAAAAAAAAATCAATCCACTGGCGCGTCCTGTTGGGTCTTCCTTTCTGAATGTCTTCACACCTTTTCCCAAGACCACCGCTCGTTCCAGGCCATGTACCTCTCACAGGGACCCCTGCACCGGCCTCCCAGCTGACCAGCCCCCCATTCCCCTCACCCTGCAGCCAGAGGGATATTTTGTTCCTTCAAAATCACGGGCACACCAGGAGCCCGCGCCAATCCATTAGGAAAACACAAAAGGACCATTCGACAAACAGACCAAAACATATGAAGAAGCAATTGCCCTATGAAAAAAGAAATACAAATAGCAAAAACCCATACAAAGATTCCTAAGTTCATTTACAGTTAAATAAATGAAAACCAAAACAACTGTGTGATACCGTCTGCATCCCCCACCCCCGTGGAAAAGGAAAATGGAACTCGTGGCCGGTATGCGTGGTGACCTGTGAGGGGGTATCTGTGCATCTGTCACACGCAGCCTGGACGGGCGACAGCTGTGGCAAAGTGGTGAAACTCTTGGAGGGTCATCGTGAGGGACACCCCCTTCCACCCAGAACCCAGTGCTAGGAAGGGGCCCGTGGTGTGTACTCGGAACAGCGCCCTACATCTGCATCCCGAGCTGCCTGCAGAGGCGGCTTCCAGCAGTGGTTGCAAGAGCGAAAGCCTGCAAACAAGATGCCCCCCAAGAGGGGAGAGTCGAGCCAGTAGTGCTCTGTCCGGACCAAATGCTCCGCAGACATTAAGAAGAACGGAGTAGGGCCGAGATGACCCTGCTCAGGGAAAGGAGCTGCAGATCTCCCCCTGTGAGAGCCATTCCTTCGCTTGCAACTCTTGAAAGCACAGGCTTATCCTCACAAGTGTATGCATGGAAAAATTTCTGGAAGCACGCACCAAAAACCTGTTAAATGAAATTGCCTTTGGCGAGGGAGACAGGTGGGGAGGAGGCTTTCTCTTTTCATGGTGTACTTTGCTGTTCTGCTTGGATTTCTAATCATGGACACAGAGGATTTTAATTTTTAAAATGTCATCGGGAAATATCTGGGTGGTGGGATGTGAGGCCAATTTGGTTTTCTTCTTTGTACTTTTCTATATCAAAAAGAATCAAAATCAATGTGTTTAAATGTTGCAAAACAAACAAAAACTTTCGCTGCCCTGGGGATAAAGTCCACGCTCCTGAGCTCGCCCTGGGAGGTCCTTTGGCGCCAGCGGCAGCTTCCCCTCCAGTCTCCTGACTCCTGGGTCCCCCCCACAGCCAACCCCATCCGCTTTCCCCACGCCAGAGCCCCTTGCTCACTCTCTTACCTCCGGGCCTTTGGCCGTGCTGTTCCATCTACCTGGAATACTCGGCCCCTCCTCCGCCTGCCTCTTCCTTCCGCCTTCCTGCTCCTTCAGCCTGGCGCCAGGAGCCTGCCCACCCTCCCCCCCCCCAGCCGGCAGTCCCGCCCTGCCTGGCTGGCTCCCCAGCACCCTGGCCTCACCTCTGCCAAGCCAGTGCTCCTATTATGCGCGGAGGGCCTCTCTGCCGGCCAGCACCCCCCCACACCCCCCGCACTACCTCACAAGGGCCTGGAAGGTAGGGCCAGGGCGCGCGTGCCCGGCATCCAGGGCCCAGCACTGTGCCTGGCACACAGGACGCTCCAGGAACGGCTGCCGGCCGAACTGGCGGATGACGCCCCGAGGGGAACGAACACACAACACAGCGGGCGCGCAGGCTCATCCCCGCGGCGGGCCTGGTTGCGGGCTGGGGTCCCGGGGCCTCGGGCCCGCTGACGCAGGCTGGGGGCGGACGGAGCAACCCGCAGCCGCGCCGCCCGCTCGCTCCACGCTGGCTTCTATTTCCTCTGCGGCGGGCGCCAAGGCCCTGAACAAATATTTTCCTGGAGTGGAGGAGCGGCTTAGCTCCCAGCCCTAAGTGCTGGAAACACCGCCGGGTCGGGCAGGTTCCAGGAACCAGAGGAGGAGCGGGGTCTGGCTGCAGCCAGGGGAGGGGGGCCCTCGGGGCGGCCCTCGGGGCACGGTGCCCACCCTCCCGGCCCGCTGCGGTCCGGCCACTCCACCAGCCCGTCACCCTCCGCAGGAAGCAGCCCACTTGCTCTGTGCAGCTCACGGCTGGGAAAGGCTTTTGCCCTGGGCCTCTCTGCCCATAAATTAGAATCCTCTGGGATCCTGAAGAAAACGTAGGCCATGTGGGCCTCCCTCGTTTTTTGCTGAAAAAGCTACAGTGGGGTTTAAAGGAACTAATTAGAATCTCAGAAGCCCTTTTAAAAGCTCCCCCCCAACCCCCACCACCCGCTTTAACTTTCTTCTTGCAGAATAACATACACAGAGTACACTCATCTGAAGCATATAGCTTGATGATTTCTTTACATACACAGACTCCCTTGTAATCACCACCTACATCAAGCCAGAGAAACTTCCAGAGAAGGTTCCTTTCATGTCCCTGCCTTGCAGACCCCACACCCCCAGCAGAGGCACCACTGGCTTCTATTAACATCGATTAGCTTTGCCTGTTCCGGAGCTTTGTGTAAGTGGAATCATGCAGTAGGGGCTCTTTGGCGTCTGGTTTCTTGAGCTTTATACGTTGCCTGTGATGTTGTGTGTGAAGCCGGTTTGTCCTTTTTGACGGCTGAGTAGCATTCCACGGTATGAATGCTATCAGTTTATTCATCCGTTGTCCTGTTTGGGGGTTGTTTCCACGCTTGGGCTATGGTGAATGAAGCTTCCAGCACACACACACGTGCTGGATTATATGCAAGGCATATGTTTCTCTTCAATAGACACTGCTCCAAAGGGCTCAGACCCATCGGCTCGCTCTCCAACCACATGGCTCCCCACGCCCCCCCCCCACTATCGTCCATCTCTAATGTCAGCCTTTGTGGTGGGTGTGGTGGTGTCTTGCACCGTGAATAAGCTTCTAAAGACGACTTGACTTTCAGAGCAAGACAGCAGCACCAGGTGGCTACAATGAGCGCCCCAAAGGCAAAGACTCCCTCTTTGCAGTGAGCGCATGCATCATGCCGGATCATAAGAAAGCGCCTGCCCTCAGGAGGCACCCAGGGGAGCGGGACGCCACCGTGGAAGCAAATCCCTCGGTGACATGGTGAGCGGTGCCCGAAGCTAAGGGGCACGGAGGACACAGGGCTCTCCCTAGAGCTGTAGCCCAGGCTGGAAGTGAAGCAGGTGTGTGATAGCACGGCCAAGGACCCACTTGGGGGTGCGTTTGCCCTCACACCCACATTCGGAGTGGGTGTAGAGCTGGCAAGGCTCAAGGATGGCCCTGGGTGACAGGGTGCAATGGTGTTGGGGGGTGGGAGGAGGCCAGGAGGCCAAGTAAGGGTGGTGCCCACGGCCAGGCAGGGCTGGCAGGATCCCAAGCCCCTCGAGGGTCCCTTGGCTCAGGACCCTCTCCTCCAGCTCCTGCCCCCGTAACTCCAGGAACCAGCGCCCCGCTCTTCCAAGGCGGCCCGCCCTCCTTGCTCCTCTGCCTTGCTCTCCAGGCTGGAGAGGGGCAGGACGGGGTAGGGTTGATGGGGAGAGAGGAGGACACGGTGCCTTGGAGGTGGGAGCACGGCCCCGCACTCCTCTCTGCACGGGGGCCCCCTGCGGACCCATTTCCCCAGATGCTGCTTCCCCTAGCCTGTCCCTTCTGCCGCCCGCCGCCCGTTACCCTGCCCCCACCCTGTGACGGGCCGGCCCAGAGGACCACCTCAGACTCCACTGGAGAAGCACACCTGGGGGAGGGCAAGGTGACGCCCAGCGAAGTGGGGACAGGCCTCTACAGGTTCTGCCAGTTCTCCCTCCGAACCAGCTCTCAAAGCCAGCCCGTCCTCCCCATCTCTCTACTGTCCCCGGCCTTGGCCCCAAATCCCTCTGCAATTCCCGGAGCTGCTCCTCAGAGACCCTCAGAGAAGTTGCACGTGACTTTCGCCACATCCCATCGTCACCTCTCCCCACACCTGATTTCATCCAACGGCAGCACCAAGTCTCCCGAGGTCTCCCGAGTCCCTACTTTTAGCCAAAGCCGTGCCTTCCACCTGGAATGCCTCCCCCTGAGCCTCCCCCTGAGCCTCCCTGGCCCCGTTTGAGAGGCCTCTGTCCTTCAAGACCCAGTTCCAGTGCCACCTCCAGGCACCTCCCCTGACCCTGGCGCCACGCTGGGTTGGGTGCCCACCTCCCCCCAGCAGCCCACACCGAGCCCCTGGACCGCGACACCCCTGAGAGCAACACTGCGCATCTTTGTTCTGGAAGTGCAAGCACAGGGTGAGACTGTGAGCCAGAGAAAAACCTGAGAGCAAACAAGGCAGAAAGTGCCATTTATTTTTTTTTTTAAGATTTTATTTATTTATTTGACAGAGAGAGACACAGCGAGAGAGGGAACACAAGCAGGGGGAGTGGGAGAGGGAGAAG